TATGATTTATGGTGAATGTAGGAGGTTTCCGCTATATATAACACGTTATACTCGATGACTCCGCTGTCTATAAATAATACCATACAAGCGCTGTCCTGAAGCAACAGGTATGTTTCCTTGACGAGATCTGTCTAGAAATGCCGCCAGGTCATAATAATTAACTGTGCATGGCAGGAGTACTGGATTGGTTGGTTGTTCGGTTTGTTGTTTAACGCCGCACTCAGCAATATTCAAGCTATATGACGGCGGTCTGTAAATAATCGAGTCTGGACCAGACAATCCAGTGATTAATATCATGAGCATCGATCCACGCAATTGGGAACAGTGACATGCATCAACAAAGTCAGCGAGCCTGACCACCCGATCCCGTTAGTCGCCTTTTACGACAAGCATAGTCGCCTTTTACGGCAAGCATGGGTTGCTGAAGACCTATTCTACCCCGGATCTTCACGGGTCGAGTACTGAAGAACGGCGCCAGGCAACAAACACTTCCTTTCTCATGCAATTTGGGGCCGGTACGCCTTTCGCGAACACCTGGTGTTCATGGTTTTTCAGTGATCCATTCATATAATTTTGACCTTTTTAGCTATTTACGCCAATGGAGTTTCTTGCGACGGGAATCGAGACCGGTTGTTCCCTGGTGTTGATTTTTAATTTGTATTTTGATTCGTTGTTGTCTTTAACCACATACGTTTGTTTGTTGTTTAACGCCGCACTCAGCTATATTTCAGCTATATGACGGCGGTCTGTACAAAACCGAGTCTGGACCAGATAATCCAGTGATTGACATTATGAGCATCGATCCATCAACCAAGTCAGCGAGCCTGACCACCTGATTCCTTTAACCGCCTCTTACTACAAGCATAGTCTCCTTTTACGGCAAGCATGGGTTGCTGAAGACCACATACGTCTAGCCGAGAATGGTAAGTGTTAACGCTACATATGGAAGCGTGTAGGAAATTGAATAACATGATGGCAATGCACCAAGCATATCTTTTATGATTCCATCGTTAAGTTTCGATTCGATGTTTGATTGTGAATCAGCAAAGCGACATTTTAAGGGTTCTTGAACACAAGGTCTGAACACAAGCTGATGTAACACAAGACAACGCTCAGCAAACCTTAACATTGATTTATGAACACGTGTATGACGTAGGGAGCCACTGTTTTGTGTCAAAAACATGACTGTGCTGTACATTAAGACACTGTTGGTGCTCGTCATTTGATTTTCTATGAACACATTGTCTTTTACCAGTGGATACGTATCGAGCGTAATACTAAAGAATGGCATATGTCATGTTGAACGAAGGATGGGGACAACATGTATCGTATGCCACGAATAAACATGAAGTACCTGCCTTTTCTGGGTTTCGAATTTCAGGTTAATCGATATTGTGACAGTCTTTGAGACAAGCCTGTGTAATAGCAGTGATATATAGTTTCATTAATGCGTGGTAGTCTGTCTGAGATGTACTTCATTTAACGGGTGGGTGGTCTGTCAAAATTGTTGAATTGGGCGTGTACTTCAAATAATGGATGGATGGTCTCTCGAAGTTGCTGAAGGTGGTGTGTACTTCAGGTATAGGCGGGTGGTCTGTCATAATTGTTGAATTTGGTGGGTTCTTCAAATAGAGCATGGGTGGACTGTCTAGAGTCCCCATGGGCACCAACTGCGTCCCCCTACTTGCTTATCTCTTTCTTTATGTATATGAATCAGAATTTTAAACAAGAGAATTTGGCCAAGAAGTTTAACTTAAGCTTCAAGCATATCGATGATCTGATATCGATCAATAACCGTCAAAGAACAAATTCCATTATACTGATTTTCCCATCCGAACTATTAATAATGGAGAACGATTTTCTTCATATGTTTCATATTTAGATCTATGCATAACGATTCAGTGTCAAAACGCTCTCCACAAGACTGACTGTATGACAAGAGGAATGACTTCAACTTTCCAATAGTGAACTTTCGCTTTATGTCGAGCACTATTGCTGCAGCTCCAGCCTATGGTGTCACATTTGAATTTGAATATGGAAAGGGTTTTGTCACTTTTATTTACTTGTTGAAGTTGGTGTGTACTTCAATCACGGGTGGGTGGTCTGTCGAAGTTGTTGAAGTTGGGGTGTAGTTCAATTAACGGATGGGTTGGATGGCTGACAGAGAAAAATGAAACCTGTCTGTCTGTCTGTCTCTCTGTCTGTTTGTCTGTCTGTCTGTCTGTCTGAGAGAATTAATCGCTTTTGGTCACCACGAGAGCAACTGCCATTGTTTGATCGGGGTCTTTTAACATAGTGTCTGACCTCTGTATCCTATATAATTAGGAATGCAGTTAATACGAGGCCGTGGCAGGTCACACAGTGTTAACAATCACCTTTCCATTTGATCTAAGATAAGTTACTTGTAGTGCGCTCGTACTGCACTGTTAGAAAGACAACTTGGACATTGCATTGCACAAGGTTTGATAATCCATAACTTGTTTGCCATAATTAATGCGCCAAGAAAACAGATGTACTCTATTCAACACAACTTCCTTTGTTTAGATTGTTACATGTATGCTATGCAAAACCTCTGGAGTAATTGTGTTGAGGCAAGAGTGAGTGAGTTGGATTTAACGCCGCTTTTAACAGTATTCCAGTCATACCACGGCGTGTCAGCTTAATGTGGGAGGAAAGCCTGAAGTGATGCAGGTCTCAGACGTTTACCACATCGGTGAAACCCACGAGCACGGGTATGGTGCTGACAAACCTAGAAACATAATCGGGGCGAACCGGGATTCGAAGCCACAATCATAGGTTTCTGGCGTGCCCAAGGGACGCAACTCTGCACAGCGAATCGCGGTGCCTTAGACGACTGGGACACCCGTGCCCCCGTTGAGGCAAGAATAAACATATATCATCAAATAGCTCACCAATAGAATATGTCAATAATTGTAAATATCTTGTAATTCACTTTATACAAATAATAACTCTTTCAAAACTTCTTTAAAAGCAAATTGTGAATCTGCCACGAAGGCCATGTATTTTGTATTGCGTAAAAGTAGAACATTTAATCTATCCATAAAATGTCAATTATATCTCTTCGAGGTGGTAAAAACCAGTTCTGTTATATGGTTGTGAAATCTGGAGTTTTGAAAATTGTAAACAAATTGAATCTTTTCACGTTAGTTTTGTACGTAAATTACTTCCCTTTAAGAAAAGTACACCTTTATACATGCTGTATGGAGAACTTCGAAGAGCACCTTTGATTAATTCTGTCAAATATCGAATGGTATGTTTTTGGGGTAAGGGTTTATCTGGCAAAGAACAAAAAGTTATCAAGAATTCTATATCAAATGTTCTATAATGAAGTCTGTACAAACAATAGCTGTAAAAAATGGATAAAATGTTTGGAAAGTATTTCAATATAACGGGCTATAGTTTTAATTGGTTAAACCAACAAGCAGTTCCTCCTAATGTCCTTAAAAAAACCATTTTGTTAAAAGTATCTGATATAGCAACTCAACCGTGGAATGCAGAGATTACATATTCTTCTAAAGGTATCATATATCACATATTTAAAACTGAACTCGTCTTTGAAATGTTTGTATAAGTTATCTCTTTCTCGTTAGCTGTAAAATTCCTTTTGTTTAGAACCTCATTTCACCATTTACCTATTGACCTAGGTAGGTGGCACAAAATCCCTGTCAATCCCCGCTCTGCGAACATGAGCGATGTTGGTGATGAATTCTTTATATGTTTCTTTGTCCTTTTTTAAACCACAACGGAAATTACGTGTTCCAATTTCATATGCTAAAAACCCAAATGTGTTTAAATTTAAAGAACTTTTTAATTGTAAAAAAATAAATGTTATTAAAAAACTCTGCACTTTCTGTAATGTCTTTATGAAAACTGTAAAACCCGCCATCTTGTGTATATACTGTTTACAAATTTGTATCTCATATGCCGGGGATCCCGGGCTGATCGTAAATAAAGTTCTGTTCTGACGAACTAAATTTGGAAATAAAAGACTTTTCGAAAAAAATCAAAGTCAAATACGGTGTTATATATTGTTAGCGATGAAGTATTTCTGATCCTCAGCTGCAGATCAACAAAGCATATTTTTATTCAAAAGTATATCACCGATGTTGCATTAAGTTACAAAACAATAAATCATATGCTTTAATGTCAATAAAATATAGCGCAGTTTGTTTAAACTGCTCTGCAAAGTTTGGTCGTAAGGCTGGAGAAGAAAAGCAAAATCCACATTCAAACTTTTATTGATTCCCTTAAGTAACAGTTTTGTAAAGTCACAATATAAAAGCTGCAACTGATGCGTGGCGTTGGCAAGGGAAATGAAAGGTTTGAACGGACAGGAGTCTGTCTTTTCGCAAACATTGGTTTTATTTGTAGATCAGCGGAAATTATAAAGATCAAAACGAAGATCGAAACCTTCAGCTTACATCCCCCACTGACAAACAGCGTTCATCGTTTGACACGGCAGCGACGTTGACGTCAACCTCAACGTGTGCAGCAATGCGTTGCGGATCGACGTTGGCAAACTATTACAATGATAATTACAGCTTTATTCGCGTCGGAAGCGTTGTGAAATGACGCATTGAAAGCGGGTAAGATTTGGTCTGCGAAGCTTACACGACATCCCAATGAATATGTAACTATTGAAAGCGGTATTGTTTAAGGAGTGGTCGTTGCAACACACGCCTGAGAACAGATTATATTCATTTTCACAATGCTACTGAGGAGAGAATCCATGAATCTGGTTATATTTAGCATCCAAAGTAAATAAAACGAGTAAATAAAACGATCTATGATTGTTTTGACCATTTGGTTAATTGAAACAAAATATCGAGTTGATTTCACAGTAGCAATTATAACATTGATGTTCCGAGAGAAGGCATTACAAAGTTAATCGGGAGATTTCCTGTATGCGCGCGACAATCGACAAGCTCCGTCATCCTCCCAGCTACTCCCCCACCCATCTAGCTACTCCATCATGTCCAGCCTCGCTCCTGCATCCCTGGAACAATAGGTGACAATGAATATAACTGGGCGTAGGCTTCGAGCGACGTTGGTATAAATTGGTATAAATAGCCTGTGCTCAATGTTCGTGCCCTCTCAGAAGACAGCCAGCGTCATCAACATCAGAAGGTAAGGGGACAACCTATGGTTACTAATCACATTCCGTTTCCTATTGCTATTTTGTGAATTCGGCTTGATAGGTCAGATATACTGTAAGCCTTTCATCAGCTATTGCCCTTTGGTATTGATAACCATTCTAATAGTCGTAGCTATTTTTGTTCGTTTTTCTTTGAAAGTATAGTCTTCGACTTACATTGTACTTGTTTGTACGTTTTTGCTTTTTATCAAAATGGATAGAAGGCACTGGAGCTGATGGAAAGGTGATCGCCATTAGGGGAAAGTTTACTATTGGAAAGTTGAAGTCATCCCTCGTGTCATACAGTCTTATGGGGAGCTTTTTGTCACTCTTATTTATGCATAGATCTGAACATGAAACAAATGAGGCGGTGTCACTGCTCTTTTTCATTCTACTTCGGGGATATATCAATGTAAGGGAACAGGCTATTTGACAGTTATTGAAGATATTAGAGCATCGATATCCCTGAAGCTTACGTTACACATTTTGGACAAATTCACATGTTTGATTTTCATATCAGAGAAGAAATTTTTACTCGTATGCGTAAAGTGAAGGGATCAACAGAAGGGGAGTACAATTCGGGCCTCTTAGGAAGCCTACTTATTTCAAATGTCCTACACCTAAAGTTCACAGAGCTGTTACCTATGTGGAAGTTCAGCATTCACGTATTGTTTTCTCAGTAAACCTCGGATGACATTTGTTTTCATTTTTGACAAATTGTCCGGAACCCTGAATATGGAGTTACAACTAGATCTATGGCCACTACGTTTTCTGTCAAATTCCCCATGGATCCAGGAATTAGGTTTGTCGTTAGAGATAGTGGTATACACATTTGGGAAATCAATTGTTTTCACATAACTGGACCTGGCGGGGCGGGGTGCGCTCACCTTTTCGCGAACTTCTGGAGTCATTACCATTTGATAATTATGATTCATTAACACATACTCATGATACAGTTTTGAATCGTAAATCGATGTTGCTTTTTGCAGATATTTCTTGCGTTTTTGGAAACGTTTTGTCGCTTTCATTTTCTGAAACTGCAAAATAGAGGCAAATCCTTTGAGTTTTTGCGAATCTGCATGGTATTAATTCCACGTGTCACAAATACGTTCTGTGAATATAAACAAAGTCCTTCCTTGGTTGTATTAGGGATTAAGTTAATCTTTGCGACAAGGTTTTGGGGATACATTTTCTGGAGCCAGTAGTATGTCTCTCCGTGTGCGGATTATTATGGAGCTTTTAATAACGTCTATTGAAAATGTGGTAAATGGGCCGGAATTAAACGTTGTGTTAAGGTGAGATGCGAACGGTGTTCTGTATACAATGTGTTCGTCAATATACGTAGATACGTCATGAGTAATGATCTCTTAATTATCACATCAACAATTCGAAATTACCTGACCGATATTAGTGTCTGAGGACCAGGGACGGGGCGATAAGTGATTGTCCTCCCAGTGTCAAATATGTCCATCATCATCACACTTGTATAGGCGTTTAGAATTAATCCTAGCTAGCAGCACACAACGATTAGCACCGTATGACGTTCACAGAGCGTTTATTAATGTTGGATAACACGAAACATAACAGCCTTGGACAACGGGGTCTAGAAGCGGTAGACTAAATCTGTTCAATTTACTCGCAAAGAAAACTCTCGAAGTCTACATCTATATTTCAACGGAAAAGAATTCAGCTTTGAGTGAGTGAGTGAGTGAGTATGGTTTTACCCTGCTTTTAGCAATATTCCACCAATATCACGGCCGGGGACACCAGAAATGGGCTTCACACATTGTACCCATGTCGGGAATCGAACCCGGGTCTTCAGCGTGACAAGCGAACCAATAGGCTACCCGACCGCCCCTAAATCAGCTTTGAAAAGCACGTGGGTGTTATACGTTAGTGGTTTTCCAGTGGCAAATTGTCTTGTTTTATAGATACCATTATAAAAATACTTCAAAGATAATTTATTTGATAAGAAAACTCAAATATCGTCTTCACAGAAATACTATTAAAATATCTATATCTATCATGATTATTTGACAGTTACTCATAAACACATGTTCGTGATAATGTTTGGGCGGTCGGGTAGCCTCGTGGTCACGCCGCAGAGAACGCGTTTACTCATGAGTGTATATTTACACCAGGAGCAAAGTTGCATCATGTCTGGAGCAGGTGCAAATGTAAATGTAAATTTGTACTGTGTGTATATGTTGCAATGTGAACGTTTATGTCAACGTAAGAGGATGATCTAATTAATATCTGTTCGTTTGCCAACACCAAACAAATTGTCAACAGTTGCCAACTTGTATGCGTACATGTATATACAGAGTTGAGCGGACAGTGTTTTCTTTTGTTTTCAAGGAGTGAAAACTTTATGTACAAATTAAATCAAACACATGTTGCTGTGACTGACTGACGAATATGTGTGCCTACCACAAATTACATACTTTATTTACACACCTAGGATGCTTTTCTTGTGAACGCATAGTACATTTACACGCACGTATGTATAGTTACACATGTGTAAAAGTACTTACATTAGTAAATGTTGTGCATGGGTATAAGTCAATTCGCTGTTTGGACAGTGTTAATGTGACAAGGCTCTGAGTGGGATTACGGAATCAATGGGTTATCTAAGAAAATGAAATAATAAATGTTGATAAAGGGACGGGTCTGTGCTGTTCCGTTATATAGCTGGAAAAGATGTTTTCGTTTGCATCTCAGTGAAATATGTACATCGACCTCATTTTGTTAAATATCTAAGATGCTCCTTTACCTCCAGATAGTTTTAAGGACTGCATCCTACACATGTATGATGCAGAGAAGCAGAGAAGCAAGTGAAACAGTAGTCAAAAGACAATTGCCATGAAGGAGTTCCATTATATTTTCTTTCATAATCAATTCCGGTTTCTGTATTTCAATATAAGTAAGCCATTTTGTAAAAGAATAATCAAGTATAAACTGTTTACAGAACATAAATACAGGATACGATTTATACCAATGTCAAACATGTCAAACATTTCAACCATTATAATAAAGAGTCTTTTATAATCATTTGTATAATTATATATGTTGTAAGTACATATAGAGGACACTGACTAGTCACGATATCCTGACGTTGGATGTGTTAGTGTGGATACAGTGCCCTGGATGTAGCTAAAGGCGGGAGACTAACCAGATCATGCTAACGCCATGTGCTAAGCTTGGAGTGAGTACAGCCGATCCGTCACGAATATTGCAAACCACTGGAAGCCTATAAAAAGGTGTTGATTGACATTTTGACAAAATTCATATTTCCAGTACAGTGTTATGAGTTTGAATAACCGGTAGTAAAAGAAAGAGAATCTCTGTTCTAATAATCCAGTTCACCATTGAAATTCATTTGCTTGAAGTATGACTGAGCGTTAGATATTCGGGCACCCGAGTCAATCAAGTTGGAAACCGGAAGAGACTTTGAATATACATAAGGAGATCTTACTTTCCAAGTTAGACCAGCTTTGAGGTATATCCAGCTCATGAATTTCACTCAAATGGTAAAGTCTAAGACCAGCTTTGAGGTATATCCAGCTCATGAATTTCACTCAAATGGTACAGTCTAAGACCAGCTTTGAGGTATATCCAGCTCATGAATTTCCCTCAAATGGTAAAGTCTAAGACCAGCTTTGAGGTATATCCAGCTCATGAATTTCACTCAAATGGTAAAGTTTAAGACCAGCTTTGAGGTATTTCCAGCTCATGAATTTCACTCAAATGGTAAAGTTTAAGACCAGCTTTGAGGTATCTCCAGCTCATGAATTTCACTCAAAAGGTAAAGTCTAAGACCGGCTTTGAGGTATTTTACAGCTCATGAAATTCCCTTAAATGGTAAAGTCTAAGACCAGCTTTGAGGTATATCCAGCTCATGAATTTCACTCAAATGGTAAAGTCTAAGACCAGCTTTGGGGTATTTCCAGATCATGAATTTCACTCAAATGGTAAAGTCTAAGACCAGCTTTGAGGTATATCCAGCTCATGAATTTCACTCAAAAGGTAAAGTCTAAGACCAGCTTTGAGGTATATCCAGCTCATGAATTTCACTCAAATGGTAAAGTCTAAGACCAGCTTTGAGGTATTTCCAGCTCATGAATTTCACTCAAATGGTAAAGTTTAAGACCAGCTTTGAGTTATATCAAGCTCATGAATTTCACTCAAAAGGTAAAGTCTAAGACCAGCTTTGAGGTATATCCAGCTCATGAATTTCACTCAAATGGTAAAGTCTAAGACCAGCTTTGAGGTATTTCAAGCTCATGAATTTCACTCAAATGGTAAAGTTTAAGACCAGCTTTGAGTTATATCCAGCTCATAAATTTCACTCAAAAGGTAAAGTCTAAGATCGGCTTTGAGATATTTCCAGCTCATGAATTTCCCTTAAATGGTAAAGTCTAAGACCAGCTTTGAGGTATATCCAGCTCATGAATTTCACTCAAACGGTAAAGTTTAAGACCAGCTTTGAGGAATATCCAGCTCATGAATTTCACTCAAATGGTAAAGTCTAAGACAAACTTTGAGGTAAATCCAGCTCATGAATTTCACTCAAATGGTAAAGTCTAAGACCAGCTTTGAGGTATATCCAGCTCATGAATTTCCGTCAAATGGTAAAGTCTAAGACCAGCTTTGAGGTATTTCCAGCTCATGGGTGGCAGTATCCTCGAAGGGGGTTAAAGTACTGTAAAATTATTGTCCCCCTGAGAGGGTATCGTAAGTCCCTGTCATTCACAGAATATTTACATTTACTACGCTTTTAAACGTAGAATTTCTGTCATTTTAATTGTAGCTAAAATTATGTACAATCGCCAGCGACTGAAGGGATGATGTAAATCCTGCTAGGGTCCATGCAGGTAGCAAAGGTACTGTAAGTCCCCATGGTCCCTAGTATGGTGATCTACCTTCAGTTGCTGGCGCTCTATAGCCCGTTTTTTTATAATGTAATGTTATGTATAGTGCTCTTGATTTTATT